TTACTGCATTCTTATCAACCATAAGCATGCCGTACTGGTACATAAACAAAAGTCGTGTTATATCAGATCAATGATGGCCAAGCGCCAATGTTATCAGGGTAGACAAACTGCCATAGTCGGTTGTTTTAAATGCGCAGCGGTGGCCCTTCGTAATCGATAACGATGACCTTCAGTACCCTAAGCACGATGAGACCATTGGCCGAGCAGTAGGACGGTGCAAGACTCATCAGGATGGACTCGGTGTCCGGTGACCATCAAGTGCATTGTGACCGCCCACATAGTTCGGTTTTCTACTTCCGTCGTCAACTCCACTAGACCTATGTGCTATATGTTCCATTTAGACACCGACGATGAAGCATTGCATATCCTTACTGCCCATACAAATTTGCCTGTAACTGTGCAGACAACTACCTTAAGCGCACTACGATAGTGAACACAGTAAACATATTCACGAATTCAGTCACACTTCACAAGTCCACTCACCATGCCCAATAACACGTATGGTTTTCGGCATCCGGTTTTGGATTTGCCTGTCACTGTGGCCAGCCACAGGACACCTGCGCCTACAGAGGGACCATGGGTGACTTGCGCTGCGCGCCACCCATAGCTCCAACCACACACCCCATATCCAGTGTAAACCCGAAGGAATAAGACCGGGAGGCATGCGGATGGGAGCCACGTTCCATCAACGGAGCCGGCCCACACTCCTTCACAGACAAACACAAGCACGCTCTATTTGGGAATGAAGCGTACACAAGGCGGTGGCTGGACCGTAGTCCGCTCCACACTGAGTGCATGGAACCACTCTTTGAGCCTAGCACGGCCACAAGGACCGTGCACCCCGTGCCCTTCAGCAACGACCAACTGTCTCCTGGAACCAGTATGAACGAGGTAGTGGGTAACAGACGGGTAGGCACCTTGTCAACATGCACATCAAACGTAGCCACACTGGAGACGTCAAGCAATAGCCAACTACTTGAAACGACGATATCAAATAAAATAAATCAAATAATGCATACAGATACTGTGACATAACTGTTCACTAAATGAGCGTATTTAAAAATTGGTTACGAAGGAATCCGCGATAAGTTCAAAACGTTAGAAAATATATCGTATGAAAATGCCACAAAGGCGAACATATTATCGGTTAACTGCAATTAGCTTCAGCGATGTGTGCAAGTTTATAGAAGATAGTTCAGGTAGATATTAATATGAGATAAAAAAGCATTGGGACAATATAACAAACCCACTACCTGAAATAAAGAGATTTAGCATGCAAGCACACCGTTAATAAATCGAATGCAGCGTACCTACAAACGCTGCGCCCGTTCTGTCTACGTTCACTGTAAGACCAGTCGTCGCTTCGGTAGTGGTCCCGAGTGGCGTCGCTTATGGCTCACTCGACCTTCCTGACTCAGGCATTCGCGACCGCACGTGCTACAGCACTGTGCGCTCGATGTCGATGGAGTACACCCCTTTGGCGCTTGCCGCTTCTGCACTTGCCGCTTCTTCGCTGCATACATGAGGTCTTTCTCCTGCACCTCGGCAACGGCCTTCGTGAGCAGATCACGCCATGCACGCCGATCAACCGCCTTCGATTCCCATGACCTGCAGTCAAGATTATAACGTGCGAGGCTTCAATTGCGCATGTTCTGGTAACGAAGCTTCGGTTTCCTCGCATGCCGCTTCCCAATACTTAGCTGACCTTATAATAGTTGTTTCGGTATCCGCGTCGAATCCATACGGCTCACATGACTGAGCCACCTCAGGTGTCTCAGCAAAAGTATGCAGTCAACTGCATACATCCCACTTTGTCGCAACACTTCCGTGTCAGCAACTCTGTGGCCCCAACCGGTGCGCAAAATCCGTCGCAACCACTGCTGATGGAACCGCTCGAGATATCGCACATCCCGACGGTACATCGTCCACGTTTCACTACCGTATAGAAAAACGGACAGCAACCTGGATTTGTACACCATCAGCTTCGTACCAACGGTAAGCTGATGGTTGTTCCACACTCGGTACTCAAGCTTCCCGAATGCCACCGCTGTCTTCGACACGCGTATATGAAGCTCACTGTGTAGCTGCTGGTCAGTCGAAAGCACACTCCCAAGGTAGCAGAAGCGGGAGGTGGTTTCTAATACTTCAGCACCAATGCTGATTCACGGCACTATTGAAGATGTTACCTCCGGTGAAGGCTGAAAGAGACAGACAGTTTTGCTTGTGTTGATGGTGAGCCCGAATTTGGCCACTGTTGAAGTCAGAGCACTAGTCATGTGCTGCAACTCATCCGCCCTGTGTGAAAACAACGCACATTCGTCAGCAAACAGCAACATACGGATAGTTGTCTCATAGACTAGAGTTCGCGCACTGAAACGACGGATGTTCAGCAATCCACCATCTATACGATGCTCTACACGAACACCGTAAGTACAAGCGGTATCAAAGCACAAGACATCATTGCACGAAGATAAATATTAAACACATGGCTGGCGGCATCCGGTTTCGCATTTGCCTGTCACTGTGGTCAGCCACAGGACGCCTGCGCCTACAGAGGGACCATGGATGACTTGCGCTGCGCGCCACCCATAGCTCCAACCACACACCCCATATCCAGTATAAACCCGAAGGAATAAGACCGGGAGGCATGCGGATGGGAGCCACGTTCCATCAACGGAGCCGGCCCACACTCCTTCACAGACAAACACAAGCACGCTCTATTTGGGGAATGAAGCGTACGCAAGGCGGTGGCTGGACCGTAGTCCGCTCCACACTGAGTGCATGGAACCACTCTTTGAGCCTAGCACGGCCACAAGGACCGTGCACCCCGTCCCCTCTAGCAACGACCAACTGTCTCCTGGAGCCAGATGGACGAGATAGTGGGTAATAGACAGGTAGGCACCTTGTCAACATGCACATCAAGCGCAGCCACACCTGGGATGTCAAACAACAAGCAATCATTCGAAATGCCGATATCGATTAAAGTAAACGCATATGACGACATAAATACTCGCTAAATGAGCATATAGAAGAAATTGGTTATAAGTGAATCCGTGATAAGTACAGAGTACATATATACAGACACGCAAATCCAGTATCTCACTGGTTAAAATGCTTTATTTTTATACAATGACCCACCATAGCTGTTTGTATTATCATAATCATGCCTTCGCAGACGTGCCTAGCACTGCCAGGAATAAAATATTTGAACAGCAGAATCAGTGAACATATTTCCAATTGGTTATGCAGCCGGATTGGATGTGTGACGAGGAAATCGTTTGAATCGGGAAACCGTATTGCCTCGGCACTTACTAAGCACCTGATGTTCATCGGCCACCGAGTGAATCCTGATAAGTCGTTCACCATACTAATACGCGATATGTGGCCTCACATTCGCAGGCTCCTGAAGGTCATCGTTATCCATCGTGAACTGCAAGAGTCGCTGTATCTCTTAAAATCCATCAGTGAGCCTTCTTTTTAGTTTCGTTATTTTTTGTAACACTCATATATAAGTTAAAGCTGAACCCATCGGACATATGTCACTAATTTATCGCTATCTTTGTTCCACCATATGTTCGTATTTCAGCTTTCCACTGTTGGCAGCACTGTACTCATCTCCTGAGATGAAGGGGTAAAGCTTCCGAGCTAATTAATACACCCATGCGAGCCAAATTACCGCAGACCTACTGGTGCGTAAAAAATGCACACGCAAGGTTAATTGACAGACTGTGGGTTACAAAGTGCCAGACTCGAAAGAGTCCAAGTGAAAACGCACGAAATGGCTTAAAAGAGCAAAAAAGAAAAGAAGGAGTATTTCTCTCTATTTCTCTTTTTCTCTCCATACATAACAATGGCCCTGAATATCAGCCATGAAGGTGATGGTTTATTGCCCCTTGTGCCACATCGGCACAAGGTAAAATGGGATGTGGAATTGCGGGTGAAATCTTTCGAAGGACTACTCCGTATTGAGGCAGGTCGCTAATATAACCGTATTAAATCAACTGAACTTCTTTTAATGCGCATTTTCATCTTACTGTCAACTTCTGCTGTCTAGAAACTACCTTGGATAATTTGAACAAATATCTCTTTTTCGATACGGTTGTACCTATTGATCTGACCATCTAGTTGGACTATATCTCGCACAGTCAAGAAATATACAATTTACAACTATATTTAAATGTTTATGACTGAGTTACTCGGCAGGTAGTCCATTTAGCACCGACATTTCATTAGATGTAATTTTGGAAAAAAAACATGATAGGTTTCGACGACCCCAGTCGCACAGTAGTACCTAAGTGTATGTACATTCTACCATTTGTACCAATGTGTTCCCATTATTCTCCGTACAGCGCTGTCATGATGAAGAATCACCAAACTACAGACAAAACAATACGCTGATAACCACTGAGTTCGGAAATGCAGTGAAATCCTTAGTTAAGTAAAAATGTAAACATTTCAACATTGAAAGCGCGGTGGTTTCAGAGAAGGCACTAATAAAAGCAGCCTTAGGGTCTCATGCACGCTTTGCGCGCAGTTGACGTCCAACTTCGTCTATATGTCGGTTGTGATTTCTTAACGGAGGAGCTTAGCATAGATGTGAAAAACTGCGCCAGTGTCGCTAAGATCACTGTTGCTATTGATAACCTACAGTACCTCTAGTTATGACGAGGATAGGAAGAATGAGGTGGCCTATGATAGATGCCACAGCAGTACTATTAACGATATTACTCCTGCCAATGGCGACAACGGTATCAGCGCTAACTTTGCTTTGCTTTTAAAAGGAAAGCGCATCTCCTTAAAATTTACTGCTGTTTGGCGCTCATACTGCTGACTAGTAAAACGCACACACACAAAGGTTTATTCTAGTTGGCTTAATTAATGTTCACATTTTTCTCTGACTTTAGAATCTGCCTTCCATGCCTGTAGCTCGAGCTAAACACATGGTACGGCCCGCTACCAGCGAACGGGTTCTAACGGATATTGATTTCTGAAGTATATTCTCACCGTATTCGAGCCTTGCTTGTTTCCTCTTGTTTCTTTCTAAGCAGGCTTTGAAAACTGTCAATAAGTTCCAGGTAGGAAGTCGGAGTGACGTAAGTCTTCCTTCCCAACCGTTGAAGAAACTTTTCGGCCAGCGGTGTGAGCGAGGTGTGGAAGTACTTGAATAAGTGCACTGTGACATCACGAACTCCTTCTTCTATATCCAAACGCTCCAGCGCTTTGTGGGCCACGCGTTCCAAAGCGTCCTCCGGCCATGGCTGAAGTGGAACCACGCGTGGAAAGTCCACCGTAAAAGTGTGTGCATAAACAAATGTGGCACGCTGAGCACACGGTGAACTTAAAGGCTTGCAGCAGAGTAGCTTGAGGCTTGAAAGAAGCTATAACTGGAAAACTCCTTCAACGGTATTCCATAGAAAACTGAAAGTCTTATTGACCAACGCTTCTTAATGGGTGTAGCCTACTCCACAATGCACAATGAGCACGGTAACGTACAACGTTATGTCTATGCAAGAAAGCACATGGCGTATAAATTTGCGACTGAGGTTTTGTTTCCCTTTATGCATGAAGAACATTTTGTACATATTTCTGAATGACAGTCCCTGTTCCATGGTGTTAACGAGGGCAGTGCTACTACCAATGTAGAGTCAACTGCTTCAGAGCAGCTTTGGTCACCACAACTGATACGTTAGCATATTTGTACTGTCTACATCTGATAGAAATATTTCCAGCCAAATTCGTGATTCACATGTCGAATATGCCACAGTTCGCTTTACATGAGCTGAACTCAAAGCATTCCTTTGTGAATGTGCGGTATATATGCGTTAGGGTGACTTATGGATTTGCGATGCATAGATCAGAGAGCGGCAAAGCCACCAATATACGCAGTTGACTGCAAGAAAAGCGTTACATGTTTATTTCTCTCTTTGTAAAAGTCTAAACAGATTGCAATTGTACAAATGTTACCGTAAAACACTAGAGTGCCATACTTCTTGTCGTCGTTACAGATTTGTAGATACTATGTTTCGCTCGAAATGTAAGAACATTCAGCACGAAGTAATTGAATAGTGAGTCGCACACGTATTACTTTGTAAACCGTTCGAATATATAAGGGGTGTCTTGTTAGCTTCTAGGTCAACATGTTGATAAAAGCGTGTAGTTGGGTACAAATGAGATGAAAGAACCTTCCAACCAACCTGGAACCAATCGATAGTGCAACAGTTGATAAGAGCTGGAAACTGCCTCAGTCGATTGCGGAAGGCTTCGCCAATCGGTGAGAATCCCATAACCACATGCAGTTTTTCGCGGCATCGATTCACAAACAAAGAGTATAAGGCCAGTGGTGACATGTCAGCCGCTTTCCCAGTCCCGGCCGTGGCTTCCTGTATGCTCTGAATCATGTCCATCAATTCGGCCTTTTCTTCAGATGTGTACAAGTTTGGAACCTCACCAGCATTCAGGATATTGTCGATATCTTCTAGGAATGATTCATCCTTGATTTGTGCATCCGTCATAAGAAACACTGTGTTCTTCCCTTCACCACCAGCTCGTCGCAGTAAAGACTAACATGTATGAAGAATGGTGCATTCAAGATGAGAGGATACGATGACATGAGTGAGCAGATTATATCATTATGAAGTCGGTCAATCAGTTTCAAACTAGGTTGCTTACTGGAGCCGAAGTTTTCACGTCTCACGCTTAAGAACCTGGGAATGTTGAGGCACTTGCAAGAATGACCTCGGGTACAACTATACAGACTATAAAGCAACCACCTACGATAAGCAAAACAATCTTCCATATCAAGTAAAGAGGTATCACGAAGAAGGATATGTCGGGCCATGGTTTCAGACAGTGTGTTAAGAACATGTAGCAGATTACCAATGTTTGTACGTAGGATAAATTCCACAATAATTGGGGATGGAGTAAACAAGGAATAATCGTTCAGTGAGAGTTAGACTTAAAAGTAGTTAATTATATTCAAGCGTGCAATTGCTTTCAAGACTACATCACGTCGAAATTATTCCATAAACCGAGAATGTGGTCTAAACCGTGGATATTACTCTAACGCAGTCTTTCGGTCTAGCTGTTTATGCCTTCTCACCACGTCTCGCTTTGAGAACGTACAGGCTTGAATCAACCAGGCTTATTATTGGTAGATGTAGTACACTGAGGTTTTTAACGGGCATTAAAAGAAAGTGGCATCACTAGCGTACTCAGAGCAAGTATAGTAAATAGTCCGGTGGGATACGGGATGGCCTGTCAGCAAACCCCAATTAACGAACCTCGGGTTTGCTTACTGTGCTTCTAAAAATGCGGAATACAGTGTAGGTGTCTGTGGCTAACGATGGCCAGTCAGTTGACGTTTACAAAACGCAGTAGCCCCTCCGCTCATCAGTGCATTAGCCATCTCGGGAGTACAAGGAACGCGCCATATAAGCCGACGCCCCGACTGAAACGGAACGGTATAATTCGAGGAGCATGGGAAGTCGAGCCACTGTCCAAAGTTAGTGGAAATATCGATTCGTAAGCAGTGCGGTTCAGGAGAATAGAAATGGTGTCGTCCGGAAGACACCAGCCCTTGGAATGGCGGATACAGTGGCGGTTGGACGGCAGCGCAAGGACTAAGTATCACTCACCACCAACCAGCTGTTAAAAACTTGACATAGGTTTCTGGAAGCGGATGCGCGTCTGCAGGTTCGAGAATCGGATCGTTCTATTCTACCGTGTTTGGCCTGAAGTATGCAAAACGACTCAGGCTGTCGCTGAGTACCAACCGGACACCTATAGCTCGGTAGACTATTATGACCATGAGGTCCAAATGTGTACTCACCCTTAGGTCCTCACGCCATTCGGTCTTTCCATAGTTTTTAGATATTTCAGGCTGGAACAGACTGTATCCAGCCATCGCAGCTGCCAGTCTTGTGAGAGATTGTCTTCCAGAGCCACCAACGCCGACCAAAAGCGCGTTTCCACCCGGTATTCGCAGAATTCGGCATATACGTGACAAGTGTTCTACCACGTAACTGGGAATGGTAAACGGAGTCCAATGAAGAGAATATCATATTGATCTTACATGGTCACATAAGAAAGGAATGTCATGCCAAAAATAGGCGACACCTCTTAATATTGGAGCTAGAATGGAAAGAATCTTTCAGTGACACTCACCGAAATATTACCAGTGGCATCTTTTTCTTGTTCGTTTGGTTGTATTCCTCAAGGCATTGTTCCACGACTGGGTAAACCGCATTGATATCCTTTATTTCTTCATAAGCGCGATCCTCTGGTAGGGAATCTGGCTCCATAAAATCACCAAATAATAGACTTCTTAGGTGTTCTTCTCCCACCTACAATAACAAAAAGTCATTGGTATAGCTCATGAAAAGTGTGTTCATCAATAAAATATGTCATGAGCAGGGCTTCCTGCTTCTCAGAAATTCATTGAATTTCACTTCCTCCAGCTTTTTTTGACCAGCCCTGATGCTAGTTATTACAGCTCGCTGGTCTTTCTTAATCAGTGTTATAGTGGCAGCACCGAAATGAAGTGAGAGATGGAGAAGAATCCAATTTGCATCGCTTCACATTTTCTCTAATCTAGCCAGCAACCGAGTCGCCAACTTAACCTTTATGTCACTGTGAAAGAAATATACGGAATCACAAACCATCAAGGGGGTCAGGCTGATTGAAGACGCACTTATTCAGTCAGCTTGAATGTGATGGTCCTTGTTACTGGCAATATATGGGCATCTGGCATGAAGAAAACCGATGAGGTTTGATTGTCTTACTTTGAACCGGCGAACACACTTAATGGAACTCCGACCTCAAAGTCACAATTTCTTTTTAGGGACAGTGGTAAGCACAGATATCCAAATATAGAGGTGTTCATAAAGTCCATCAAATTGACACAGAAACATCGTTCTAACAATATCTTGGAAAGCTAAAGTATGGTCGCATAATAATAATAATAATACTATGTCCAATCTCGATTTTACGTGTCATCCCCGTTCCTGTAGGATCAATTTTTACATAAGTTTCACGTGATACCCATAGAGGTTTAGAAATTAGGCAGAATTGAGAACCATATTTTGAGTATCAATGGTTTTCTAACAGAAATCTTCAAATGATAAAAGGAATGCAAAGACTATAGATCTGATCTGAAGCCAAGCTAGTCAACTCAATCTAATTAGTGTATAAATCGATTCCAGTGCAACACAGAAATCTAATACTCCACTTATGCAATCGCAGTGTAGCAGGAATCATTTAGATACACTTGCTAATGCAATCCTGGTGTGTCTGAAACTCAGTTACTGTTAACAAGATATTTGCTATCATGCACTGAACATGTCATCACAATTGGTTGCGAAACATTTGCGACTAGACTGTTCAAATTTTTCGCCATATCAATACCTTAACTTACAACCTCAGCCACGGATATGCGGGTTATCAGTCATCTTCGATGGGTGACTCGATAGTTCAAGAGTTAGGATAGCGGTTAAAGTATGCTTTTACGACTCAATAACAATGCAATTACACACCAAGTGATCAAGTTGTATTGAGAGTTCTATACCAGCAAGTGTAACAATCTGCATATTCCTTTTGAAGACAGAAGGTGCTGGTTGCGAAATCAACCTGCTCACTACAGTTTAACAGGACTGCGTCCCTTACATCAACCAGCCGATTGGAATTTATAAGCCGTTCACGAAAGCGGATTATGTAGTTACTTCTCCCTTTGCGATCGGGTTAAAAACCACTATCCGCAGATGTAACGTGCTGAATACTAACATATCCAGATGTCTAAGTGGGGTATGGAATGAGAAAACGTCGGGCAGACACCAAGGGTCAGCTAGGCACTGATGTGTCAACACAGCTGACATTGTAAAGAATCGGGTAGAGAAGTCAGGATTACCGGGATCATGGAGCAGTGGACTAGGTGAGTGGTCTGAATGGAGGCTATTGCACGTAATGCTCGAAACCTGGAAACACCTTCCTTTTTGATGAAAATGCCTAGCTTTTATACCAGATGTTATATCCAAGTAAGTAGTAAAAGGGAGCAATGAACAATCCTCACCGCTTCGCCTTCGCGTTTGGTTAGGTGGGCGAACAGCAAATCAGTCTTCTCCTTGAAGTTGTTGACAAGTATGTTTTTGATTAGTCTATGGAAATAAGGGATAACAGTTCCTTCGCACAATCAGCTGAACTCATATGGGGCTCTATGTTAAACGATGTTCGCAGAAAGTACGCTAGAATATGCTCGGTTGTTTACTTAGACAAATTATCAGAGAAATAGATAGGATATTGTTTAGGTGACTCAAATGCAGTTTACGGAATCAACGATCCGGAAACAGCCAATGGTAGCTCGCAGAAGTGACTAATCTGAATAAACATCGGTTGGCAAAATGTCACACACCGGGCTGCAAGCGGATGGCACAGACTGGAAACAATAATCTATTTCTGGACCCTGGTAATCAGAGTTAATCCGGACTTCGGGTTTCATCTTGTAATTAGCGCACGACACTGATGTTCAACTATGTCTAGCATCGCAATATTGCTTCTAGTTACTCGGTAGCCCTGGTTATTGATCTATCTAATAACGCTCTGTATCCTCCAGTTTCAAGAACATTGAGTACCCCTAGGCAGCCACGAGGCTTCCATGGTGCAATTTAATGGTATGAGTTCTCTATTCCTTCTTCAGCCTAAACAGCTCCTACTTTGTTTCATTCCTGCTCTTCAGTTAGATTGATAATTCACATTCTTTCTCTCAGCTCTTTAACTTAAACTTGTTCTGAGTTTCAATCAAGCGAACTGGTCCTCATTGTTCATGTTGAATGTTAATAAATTTAGCTTTCTGCTATGTTCGTCATTGGTGTCTCGTACACAGTGTCTCACACAGTTAGCTCCGTACCCAAAACATACAGTTATGTCTTACAGTGCGCACAAATATCAGTACTCAGATCAAACCGTTACCGTGCTTAATCGACTGATGTACCCCAAAAATCTAGTGACAAAGTACACCAACGCAAAAGCGAATTACAATTATCTATAACTTAAGGAAAGTTAGCCACACACTGTAGATGTGTCTCCAGTCTCATGATTTCAGATAATCTGTCTTCTCCAAACCAAAATGAAGGGAACAGGATAAGTATTTCGCAAATTCCGGTCTTTTCTAAACCAGGGAGGGTCACATCTTGTGAAGTAGAAAATCGCTGGCCATTTTCAGTCTGATATGAAGATATTAACAAATATTACACATGTAGGAAAAAAATCCAAGCTTGAATTTATTATTTCATGATGAGGCCGCGGGTCAGTTGCAATGTCAACGCTGGCCGCAGTTGGCCCGCAGGACGAACTTTGGACATCCCTGTTCTAACCTATAAAACAGCCAATTTTATCAGATCGAGAGAAGCTACGTAGATTCATGCATACGATAGCAGTGCGGGGAGACATGTCTACCGCAAGCTGAATTAGAGCAATTAAACATGTCCATAGTCTTTGATATACAGATTGAACTTTATTGTAGTAGCGAAGAATCAGTGGTCGTCCGGCAGCAATGCTGCCGAATGTTTGAGAATGACAAGCGACAGAAAGTCATTTGAAAGGGAATTTAGACAAAAATAGATTAGATCTTCCGGATATTAGTGAGTGATAGACGACTCGAAGAACACCTCGCATAGCTAGATATAATTTAAAATGACTAACCATCGTAGTATTTTCAGCTGTGTGCCGACTTCATAACCGAATGTGGTACTTCTCCTACGGAAGCAGCCAACGCGTTGCCCTGAATTCTATGGTAATTGTGATAACAGTATCCAACCTCCAGTTGCTCAGAAACAGTGTATCCACCGAATGCATGGACCCACCTTAAAATACTCGCAACATCAATAATCCTTTCTCTAGCCAAAATGATGGGCCCACCCCTGAATAGAATATTAACCAAGGTTGGGTCACGACAAGTGCTGTGCATTATGGTGCCAAACCAAATCATGCGAGAGCAAAGGTACTAATTAGGCTGACAGCTGCCATCATTTAATTGCAGTGTGAGAACTTGAGCAACGCCCACCTTAATTTGGTTATCACTCACGTCGAGATGATAGTAAAAGATACCCTTCATTTGCGAAGAAATGACGTAGAAGGTTTCGGTGTTGCTCTCTCTCATCTCTGTACACAAAGACGCTTTCCGTCCAGGTTAGGAATCATTGGGCAGAAACAGCGTGAGTTGGGAAGAGAACTGAGCGCAGAGTGGTTTTCAGCCACTGCCACCAGCACTAGATCATTGACCTCGACTACTAGCGCTTGACATAGCAGTTAGAAGTTGACTGTGGGTGTCTAGTTGCTCAAACCTGTCCATCCAAGTCTCGTGGTTCCGATGTTCATCCACCAACATCAGGCATTCCACAGCTATTATGAAGCTGTTTGCCATATCAACCGAGATTTACACTTACTTCTCCACGTCAGCGGATGAGGCCAGTCAGCATTAGGACGCAAAAGCGGTCCTTTGCATAACAATAACAACCCACGCTCCATGGATTGCACCCCAAATACCTCCACAGTTATAAAACTGGCTGTAAATAAGTGATGGTCAAATACGTGAATTAAAACAAACTTATTCTCATACCACGCTATATACGCTAGCCGCCAGTTCACATGTAGTGTTCCAGTTAAACTCCACCAAGTGTGTTACGGCAACTAGCACAATGGAGAACATACCATGATCATGCCATCAAACATGAACAGGGCGCTGAAGACATACTCCATATAATCCACCTTCATAAATTGGCGTACCCTACGTTACAGACCCATTACATACACAGACCCACTCATAAATTTAAAGGCGAAAAAACAGTTAGAATGGCATGACAGCGCTGTCATTTAGAGCAAGTTATGTATTAACGATCCGGTTGGCAAAATTATAACCGGCAACCTCACAGTTGGTGTTGTAACAGGTTTCACTTTGAAATCAAGCAGGCCGTCCGGTGAAAAAATTAGCGGTTTGGAGGATATCAGAAATACAGTAGGTCTGGTGGCAGAATGTCGGCGACAACGTTCCAGGATGAAAAGTGCGGTTCATGTACCTACCGTAGCTCGCTTGTGGTGAACGCCGGTCATTTACGGCTGTTGTTCCCCATCCAATATCCATTCAATGTTTAGCGAATTTCGCAAAATGCAAGGTGCGTGTGCAGAAACATGAATTTCTCTATCACCTTATTGGTGGGGACGTATGGAATTTCGGCAGACGAGTGGTTTAGTGCATGGCTTAGCTGTATGCAAGCGTAAGCTGGTAACAGACTGACCGACAAGTCACATTAGTCTGTTTCGGTCATCGAGCGAGATGAGTACAGACAGCCACAACGCAGTTCCGGCGATCATTAGCTGTCAGCTGACTTTGCGCTGAGTGCTGAAGGCCATGGCTAACCGTAGGCGTTGGAGGGATAGATGATTATCTGTGTGTCTCGCTGGCCAAAGCGATACAGCTAGCTGCCCAGCGAAGTCGGCGTAGGCAAGATAAAGCAGGCAACCAAAACTGTGACGTGAATGTGCGCACTTGATGGCATCTCAGCGAACCGGGTGTTTTGTATTAGGTGAGAATGCGGTTAGGCAGTGCAAGTCCTGTCAATGCCATTGAATCACTGACACAGATAATGGAGCACGGGCACACAATGCAATCGAGATCACGTAACGTACCTGTTACTCAGTGCGCGCTGAGTATTCGGCTGTACGGTGAATGCGATTTAAACACCGCATCAACTTCATGAAGATACAATGCAATGAACACAGGAATGCGTCCCGTCACCGCCCGGTACGTGCTTAAACTAGTGAAGAAGTTCGAGCAACCTGGGAGTGTGTATGACATGAATAGTACCGGACCGCGTCGCATCACCACGGACGACTGTTCAGCTTGCGTTGTAGTCAGCGAAGTGACAAAATCTCCCGATCTCAGCATTCGTCAGGTCGCACAGCACTGTGACACGACCCGATATGAGGTACACCGGATATTACAGGAACGAAGGTTACGAAGAGTCCGTGCACTTCAAGTGCAGGTTTTGACCTCCTCCGATCCGGCGAAGCGGCATGAATTTTTTCGCTGGTTTCTGGATCACGGGGATATTCGTTCTATCATCTTTACAGATGAGGCACTATTTCATCTGCATGGAACAATGAAACATTACTCTTGGGCTACTAGCAACCCACGCATCACATACTGCATCACGTATGCACCACAGTGTGAAACTGATGGTTTGGGTTGAATTAACAAGACAGAAAACTTTCGGCCCACATTTCTTTTCCGGGAATGTGACCGGTAGGTAGCCCATCATTACATCACGATGATCACTTCCATGACTTTGGCAGGCGCATGGAGAAGTGTTGCCAGACCGTAATTGGTAGGATGAGACGGATTTCTCTGAAAGAATCCGACAAGTGGTTGGGCTATGTGAATGGCTGCTACCTGCACTGCTTTATTTGAAGGTTATCCACTTCTGAAAAGCTGTGTGTACGCAAGGATAGTAGCTTTTTCAGCACCAATTTCTCTGTGAATATGATGCTGGATAACACTGATGGTGTGGTGACAGAAGCAAGTATAAGATTTGAGGATAGTACCCTTAGGAAAATAGGTCAGTACTGGGCCCGTGAGATGTTGGCCGCCTTTTACGTGTGTGTGAGTGTAACCATCAATCTTACAGCTGTGCTGAAATCATACTATTATGGTGGGCGCTCTCACTTAGGAGCTTGCCAACTTGTTCACAGTTGTCTGTAGGAATCGAACCTATTGACGCTTGAAGACATTAAATAATTGTTCACCCAACGTCTGTGCGTAGAAGCAGCATGCCACGTAGCTGCTACAAACTAGGCAATAACCAGCTGTGAATTTGATGTCTCAGATTGAGCATAAAATACCCTCATACATTATTTCATTGCCTGATTTATTACGAATGGTGTGTACCGCGATTGTCACGTAATCCGGACGCAGTGATTCAAAACGATCGGGAACACCATACAACTCGGAGAAGTCCGAACCAATCTTCTCTAGCTTCTACTTCATCAGACACTTGGAAATACGGGACACATTCCCGAGTGAGGTAACCGCTGCATGTGTTGGTGTTTCAGGGTGATTTTAACATGTCTGCCAACAGTGTATCCACGTTCCACTTGATGAAATGTACGAGCACTATGAGACTAGTTTCTGAGACAAATCTTATGTTAAAAACAAGGCAAAGGGTGCATCTACGTAGCACTTGGTAAGTACGCTGATTTCGATTCCATTTCAATTATTAATGCAGACCAATAATGCAGTCGATGTGGCACGTAGGCTACATCATCGCTGTAGTTGGAATGGGCGGGTGCCTGTTGGTTGACCTTTCTGAATTTCAGCTGTTGGCTGTTGATTGACATACCCGGCGTGTCTGTGCTTAATGTGAATGTTGGAAAAGTGCCTACCTATCTAACACTGTTGATTACGGATTTCAGTAGACTGATATTCGTTGCTAGGGGAGACGGGGTGCACAGTCGTCTTGACTGTGCTAGGCTCAGAGTTATTCCCGGCAACCAGTTTAAAATGGGCCCAGAGACCGCCTTACGTACGTCTGGTACGCTTGATTCCCAACCTAGATAGACAAGAACGCTGCTGTTGTGCGTGTTGAAGGAGTGTAGGCATGCTAAATTGATGAAAAATAGCTCCCATCGACATGTCTCCCGATCTTACCACTTCGGGTTTGCACTGGATATGGGGTGTGTGGATGGAGTTGTGGGTGGTGCAGCATAAGCCACCCATGCTCCCTCTGTAGGCACAGGCGTGCTGTGGTTGTCCTATGAATGCCGCAGTGAGATGCAACTTCGGAACCGGAAGCCCCCAACCATGTGTGTGTGGGTTAGAGGAGACTACTGTTTGAACTCTAGAAATCAGATCAAATTTCTCCCCAAGGGCCACTAAAAAACCGTATTCGCTGTATATCTTTAAAACTTGAGCAAAGTTTTATACCCTAAACGTTTTCTCCGAAACGTCTTAGCTGCTACACTACTCCAGCATCTGACGCTCCCAAAGGCAGACATTAGCAATACACCAGCGATCCGTACCGACGCTTTGCTGCCACGAGGCCACTACCAGTCGCGTAAGGGCTGGGTATACCGTGACGACGCTTGCACCTAAGCGGCTTCGAACCGATGACCTCAGGATAACCAAACAGACGAGCAATTCTCTCAACCACCGGCCGACTGGCTATTCGTCAATTTCTGTACCTTTAGTGCCTCTAAGCCCGTTTCTACATATGCTGAGTAGATCTACCTGCTCGAATTCCGTATAGAAAAGGTTTAATAACTCAATACTGGGGTCAGTTCAGAAACAGAAAATAACCTAAAAAAATCTTCGTTGTCGGAATTGTGACTAGAGAAAACATTTGGGTAGCTTTAATTCCCACACTGTAATTCAGCGAATTCCACCGGTGGAAATCTGTTCCATCTGTACATAGTGTCGCATCTACTCCGCTCGTTTTTGGCGAATGTTATTTTCATTATTTCCACATGAACTGTCATGGAAGCAAAATATTGCCACATGATCAATACTCTTACAGTCAGTTTTATAGTGTGTTGTCGAGAAATACGAAATATTACTAATGCCGGCAGAATAATAGAACCATAAAACCCAATTACTTCGGGTTAATAGTGAGCCACTAGAAATCAAACCCATGCATCCTAAGATAACTACTTTCGGAACGATTCTGACCGTTTTGGGCAATAGGAAATAGGAGTGTAAGTTAAGTTTTGGAGATGGTACCTCGAAAGCGGCGAATTTATTTCGACTCATCGTTCCTCCCTATGTGTGATCAAAATCATTCGATTCACCCAAGACAATGACATAGCAGTTCAAGTGTTTAAACAACCAGCAAGACATGCTTGTTCAGACACCGAATACTGATCAGTTAGCTTGACTGCACTGTGAAAAAGAACGAGTACTGAGCAGGAAAATGCTATACCTCGGCAGCGTTTGCTTCTAACTAGCCGAGAGAATGTGTGCCTCAAACTTACTGAAACAGCCAGTTTCGATCGGAGTCATCGGTCAACCGGTCATAAAAAACTCGCATCACCTCGTGGGTCCATAGTCGCACGAATGTTCGTTTGTCTTCAACACGATCTTTCCTAATCAAGCAAATACCGAGAATGACGCGGCTGAAGTCACGCAGATTGAACAAATAGTGTGACTTAGCTGGGGTTGGTAAAAGATTTTCCATTGCGGCCTTGTACACTTCGAGTGTGGAAGCCACTATGGTCTGGCCCAGCGTAACGTATTCCGAGCTGAATTCCTGCGACTGAACAAAGGAGCATGATGTTCTGGAGAATAGTTACGATGAAGGTGATGGCACATTTGGAAAGCGTTTAAAAGTGGGTGGCGTCAGAAACACAAGGTTAAACGAGCTATAAGCCTTTTACAGCAGATCTTAATTTGATGTTGGATAATGAGTGGAAACCCCAGGTACCTATGTCGTAGGAAGAGAATAAGTACTAGTACTGCGCAGAGTAACGTACGAGTGCAAGTTAACATACGTTATATGATCGCGTCTAAGTGATGAAACTGTAACAGCGGACTCAGAGATATGTCTTTGTCAATTAGGTTGGGTGGTTTACTGCGACAAGGCCTGACATCTAAAAACCAGCATGTTCACAGCAAACAATAGTGAACTTACTTTCATATAGGTCATCATCAGAGTCGAGAAGATTCGGTACATAGTCTCGTCGTTGAATGGAGTCATGCTAATGAGATGGAAATGTCTTAGGAATCGCTGAGTCACATCATTCCGTCCTCCACCAGGTGGACCCATGGCTGCGATCAGGTTGATGTCTTGAAGGGTGAGTTTGGTGGTGTCCTTGAGATCATACCTAAAGCAAATGTGATAAGAAGTATTACCACACGGTGTGGATAGCCACTTCACCAAAAATTGTGTCCATGCTACCGATCCTTGACTCCCGAAGATACGGGTAACGTGAGCTTCATGGAATAATGAAGTGGAAAGCATTTGTCAATTGTTTTGAGATGCAGGATTTTGCCTTGCTGCCCTGTGCTCCACGAACGAAATAACAATTGCTGCCCTGCACACGATGTCTCAGATAGAGCAACTATTGTGTGGGATGACAAGTGGGTGAGGACCCTCAAGTTAAGACTGGGGTGGACCATTTCGCTGTGGAGCGATGGGAATACCTCGAACCGAAACCAGGTGGACAGACTTGTTGGTTAGAATCAAAAAATACCAGTATGCTATCTCGCCCACTCATCAGGGTGGATTGTCAATCGCACACGTAAGACTGGCGGGACCATATTTATCTGACAACGCAACGGACATCGGCCCTGCAGCAGTCGAGCTGGTTCGTCACAGCAGTGTCAGAAATGTATAAGCAGTAAAGTTGAAAAATTTCACTGGAAACAACCAGTGGAACCAGGGATTTCCTAGCAAGATGGAGGGAAGTCCATGCATACCATTCAAGTACCGTCAACTTTGGGATCCTGTGCTTACCAATTTCCTGCACTTTTAAAACCTCTTTAGTACGTACCGTATGTCCGATATGTTTGAATCGATTCCCGCAATTCAGCCATGGCTGGTACCTCACAACAACGCACTTGCACGCATATACGAGACACCAACATCTGTAACGCTATTCAACCGGCAATTTATGTTGGACAGAAAATGCATGCCTGCGTCTGCGTTTTGGGACATGGAATAAATAAATAAATAAATAGTTATTCTCGAGGAAACGAGGCACGCCTTTTTTGGCATGATCAGAATAGTGTAATGTTAAACATGAAAGCATAATGAGCAGGTCCAAGAACAAGCGTAAAGCGGATGGAGTCAGTAGTGTAAGCCCAAAGATTGAATGAAGTTTGTCCTCGCAGAGTACGAGATGTGAAGTCATGGATTTTGCTCTGCCCTACTTTTCCATGCCGATTGGATAGCTGGACAAGCGATACAGATGCTAGTGTTTCCTATATGTGCGCAAGTGCGCTGCTGAAAGGTACTACTTGTCACGTACGCGTATGACTTCAGCTGTGCGCGGATTGCTTACCACTCACACCAGCCACCCAACAATCTGACGCAAGCCCCCGACCTCGCAACGTGAGTTTCCGTGAATCTTGTACCTTCCTCAATTGATTGACAAACCTGCTGTTTAGACGTCTTCTGCTTGATGGGATTACTTGTCACGGAAGCGTGCGTTACATGCTTAGCGGTACTACGTTTTACTGGCGACGAAAATGACGTATCCAAGGTTGAACAGACCGCCTACCTTTTGGTCATCTGCTGAGGAAAAACTGACCATTTCGAATTGGATAAGATGGAGAAAATCATTTACTATCTACGTGGAATTACTTCCTGTACTGGATCCGCCCGTTTGCCTTCCTGAGGCTCAAAAAACTACACTACTCAGGCCGGTGTTTGGTGATGAATTTCAACGACGCTATGATGCCCTGCAGCTGGAAAACCATACCCCTCTCAATTCTGCTTTGTATACTTATAGCAAGTTATGGGGACTGAAACAAAAAGTTTATACCGCTAAATACTGCTTTCCAAACCCTATCCAGAAGCCGAACGAAGGTTTTAATTATTTTATTGCACATATTCATCAATGTATTTCTGTGTGTGAGTATAATGGTATTCCACCTGGGAAAATTGAAGAGCAAATGAAAATTCGGTGTTTCCTTACGGGACCATCGAACGAAAGCGCTAGAGAGAAGTTGTTATCCTTGGATGAGTCGGCCGCCAAGTGGGAATAAATCTGTCTCATTGTTCGCCAGCGAGAGAATATTACACACCAATTACGCGAGTTCAATGGTCGTCCGGTAGCTGATGGTGTGCACACAGTCCTCAAACCAGACTCCGGTGAACATTGAAAACAATTCTTGTCTTATCTTTGCTGTTTGCGGCACTCTCACGATTCCGATTGACCACACAAAGCAAGTATCTATCGGATATGCGGCAAGATAGGCCATTTAGCTCGCGTGTGTAGAGCGGAAAGTTCCCGCCCCAGGAACATTACCTCAACGAATCGTCAAAGCAAGGTAGAGCTACCTGAAACTAAGGTCCTAGCGAATTCGAACAGTGAACTTAACAGTGTACTTGGATAGTGTGTTACTCAGAAACTGTCCTCCTTACATAATACTTTTGACGATAGAAGATGACCCGATAGATATGGAACTAGATACTGGGACGGAGTCACCATTGTAAACCGTGGTTCCATGACAAAGCTAAACCTTTGCAAAGGTGCAGCTCGAGATTACAGATGTACACGGGTGACCCAATTCAGGTGTTGGGCAGGTGTTTCCTTAAAACCAGGCACGGGGAGCGAAAAATCACCCTACCCTCAATCCTTGTATCAGGGAACAAACCGAACCTCATGGCTCGAGACTGGATACGTGTTTTTTGCGAAACCATGCAACTAAACCAACTCATTGTTGAAGACGACAATTTGCATGGCTCATTGAATCAGTTCTCATCATTGTTTGGAAACAAACTGGGTACATGCGTCATTTCAATGCTTCTATCAAACCCCGAGAGGGTGCCGAGCCACAATTTTACCACTTCAGTTCATTACGTTATGCAATGCGCCCAAAGTTGAGCCAGAGGTTCAACGTCTGCAATCAGAAGCAGTCATAGTTCCGATTCAACATTCAGTTGGGGTACTCCGATTGTGCCTACACTCAAGCCTGACGGATCCTTCTGTATTTGCGGCGACTACCAATTGACAGTCAACCCAGCATCGCAAGTGGAAAAATATCCCCTACCAAGTATTGTAGAATTGTACGCGACTTTAGCCGGCGGCCAAAAGTTTTTCAAACTGGATCTCAGTCACGTACACTCGCTAGTCGAACTTGATGATGAGTAGCGGGAATTGACCACAATAACTCCCCAACTGGGACTGTTCCAGTACACGCTCCTCCCGTTTGGAATAAATTCACCACCCAGCATTTTCCAACGGATCGTGGATAATATAATCTAAGACATACCGTTCATCTGTGCATACTTAGACGATATTCTTGTTACTGGCCGCAGTGACGCTGATCATGTAAACACATTACCAACTGTTCTCGAGCGTCTGGAAGAGTGTGGGTTAAAATTAAAAGAAGTCAAAATGTGAACTCTTATCCGATTCTGTCTGTTACCTCGGTTACAGACTGGACAAAACTGGTTTGCATGCCCTGCAAAATAAAATAGCGTCTGGTGTACAGGCACCTCAATCCGAGAATAGTGATGAACTACGATCACTCCTAGGAATGTTGTCGCGCTATCCTCGGTTCCTACCGGATGCCTCAACCATTCTCGCCCCATTGAACGAACTGCTGCACTGAAACCCCCCGTGAATGTGGAAGAGCGACATAGATCTGCTTTTGTTTGTGCAAACTAGTGTCTTGCTTCAGCATTTGCTTTAGTCCACTACGATAGTGAAAACCTGTTAATCTTACAGTGTGACTCCTCCCCACACGGAGTCGAAGCAGTTCTATGTCGTAAAATGTCGAATAGTGTCATTCACCCGATTGCGTTTGCCTCAACTTTACAACCCACCGAAAAGAATTATTCCCAGTTGGATAAAGCAGCTTTATCAGTTATATTTGGCGTAAAGAGTTTACAGCAGTACATTTGGGTCAACTATTTCGAGATAAAAACTGACCACAAACCACTGATATCCTTGCTGAGCGAGTCAAAGGGAATCGAGCAGATGATTTCACCGAGAATGTAACGCTGGGCATTAATATTAAGTACATATAAATATCGAATCTCCTATATTCCTAGGATGAACAATCATACGGCAGATGCATTAAGCAGGTTACCACATGCGACCCCAGACGAAATACTGGAGGAACCAGTATAGCCAGTGCATCTAATGCAACACCTCGGCACCATTCCATTGACAAATGATGTTATACATTAGTGCCCCCATTGTGACCCAACGCTACCTTCTGTAGAACGTTTTACAAAAAACCGTCTGGTCTACTACACTTCCCCTCGTTCTTAAGCCTTACGGACAACGGAAAAATGAATTGAGCCTTCACGATGGACGTTTTGGGAATCCCGCCTGATTCTACCGCTAAATGCACGGCCGTTCATTCTGAATGAACTCCACGACGCACATCCAGGCGTAGCCCGAATGAAAACCTTGACACGCGGTTATTGCTGGTGGTCTGGCCTAGATTCGGAAATAAATAAATAAATAAACTTTTTATCCTCGACAACGCGAGGCACGCCTTTACAGGCATGATAATGTTATGATAACAAAGTGTGAACAAAAATGTACAAGAATACAACATGCTTGTCATAACAGTGCATGTGAGCATGGATGTGTGTGTAACTGTGCATAGATGCAGCTTTGTAGCTTGTGTTTGCAAGTGTGCCGTTGTATTTGTGACTGAGACCGTCGGCTATGTAGGACTAGACGACTGATGTCCGTGGATTGGATGTAATTATTCAGGTATCTAAAGTCATGTGGTCTGTGTCAGCAGTATCAGTCAGATAAACTTCCCTGTTCGGTACACCCTTGGCGTTGGCCTGAAAAGCCATGGCAACGCATCCACGCGGGCTACTTTGGACCCACTGATGGTGTATATTTCCTGCTACTAATTAACGCTCATTCGAAACGGATAGATGTTTATCCCGTTTCCCACTCTACTACAGAGGCAGCTATCTCCAAAATGCGGTCGTCATTTACCATATTTGGGATACCAAAGACACTCTGCACAGGTAATGGACCATGTTTTACTAGCAAAGAATTTGAAATCTTCATGAATAGAAATGATGTCCAGCACGTTCGTACAGCTTCATATTATCCTGCTTCTAATGGGCTAGCGGAAAGGGTGGTGCAGACAATTAAAAGAGGTCTCTTGAAACAAGAACCAG